TTGCAGTTATCAGACATGGCGATCGCACTCCGAAGCAGAAAATGAAGGTCAGCCCTCCGTCATTCTTTTTTTTTTGAAGCAGGTAACATGGCATTGGCTATCCAGATGCCTTTATAGTGAGAATCTGTTGTAATTGGTGTCAAAGAGAAGTTTGATCGTTCTGTGGCTCCCAGCTGAAACCTTTCATTACAGATCATCGTGACGGATCAGAGGTTTTTTGATTTGTTCAAAAAATACGATGGTTGCAGTAAAAATGAAATCAAAATGAAGCGACCCACGCAGCTCATGGAAGTGCTTGAATTGGCGCGTGAAATTCTTCACGAACAGCAAGTAATCAATTTATTCGATTATTAGACCTCTCGGAATGAGTACCTCATACTAATTAAATATAGCGGGACATAATTTATAAGAATTTGTGTTGAAGTAATTCTTGGCGTATTTTAGATAAAAATTAGAAATCTTATTTTAATTGGCGGATAAGATGCGACGTAATGTTCGATGATTTTTGTAAGAACCTAACTGAGCATTGATTTGATTGAACTGATTAAGATTGACTCGTAAAAATCGTTTTCCGCTGTTGATCACTGTAGTGCTCGTAAATTTCGTTTTTGTCAAGCAAATCGAGTGTCTTTCACCAGAAATAGCCTACATCACTTTTTGTTTGAGTCAAAGATAATGCCTAATCTTCGGGAGGTGATTTTCAGTTGAGCAATAATTGTAATTGCACTTTTCATATCTTTTCGTGCTAGCGGTTCAGTATATTCTAGCTTTTTCACAGTTGTTAATCGTTGTTGTTATCGTCGCCAGTGGTATGTGACTTCCAGTCTTTTCATGTCCAAGCCACAACCTGCAGGTTTTAGTCAAGTTGTGTGTTAGTTATAGCGTGGTCTAAAAATCACGGTACGTGCCAGGTACTAGTCACGAGAGTTGATACATTTTTTTCCCACTTCACATCTGCAGTTGGTTTAATTTTTCAGGAACATCGTAATGAGTTGTTGAAAGAAATGGAGTTATGCGAGGAGAATGGTGGCAGTTCTTCGGAGCTGGATCGAGATTTGGAACGATGCGAGGAAGCGATCAAGAAATGGGATCAAGTTCGCACAGTACTTGAAATGTAAGCATCCCCTCTTAGGATTCACTCATTGCCATGACTGTTAAATTTCGGTTCCTGAATTACTGGTTTTTCAGGTATGGCCATTTTTCGGGCATTAATCGAAAAGTTCAGTTGAAATATTTGAAACCACGTGAATTTAAAACATCGGATGGCGAGGAGGTACATCAGCAATCAGCACTGATGCTCATCTTGAAGTGGGGTGGCGAGCTGACTACTGCTGGTTAGTGCGCGAGACAGTATTGAATAATCTGCATTTCCGTAATTTTATGTCTTCATTTAAAAAATGTTTTTTTTTTTCAAAAACTCTTCAAAAATATAAATTAGACGATTAACTTATAGGAAATTTGCAAGCCGAAGCATTGGGTAAATTATTCAGGACTTTGTATCCGGGCATTAGACGTGCTGATGGTAAAAGTTACCCGGAAGATACACAAGGTTTTCAGCTGCTTTAAATCTTCCGTTGTTTTATCAAACGATTATGAGGCTATTCGAAATGTGGTTATGG